GAGCCTCGGCCCTAAACATTCAAATGAGAGCCCATTTCGAAAATGTTTATTATAAGAAGTTGATTTGATGTCCAAATATTTTCAAATTGATCATCTCCCTGAAATCCATCCTAGAGATGCATTTAGGATTTGAAACACATCCATCTTAAGTCATTCTAGAATTCCGCTTAAGATTCATAATTTTGCAACTCAAAAAATCGTGCAGATCTGATGATCTACAAAGAACTAAATTAAACTTTTACGAATCGTCCAAAAAATTCCTTTGAAATAATCTAATTTTAATGTTCACGATCTATCTTTCTGAATTTATGGTTGTGGCGTTCAAAATTATGGACCTGTAAATTTTTTGGTTCAGATTCTATATCTAAGCTAGGGCTTTGGAATGATACTGCATTTAGATAGTTACGTCAGATACACCAAAACTAGGGGTGGCAATGGACCTGAGCAGGGACCTAATGGGTGGACTTGACTCTAGCCCGGGTATGGGTCTAAAAACTAGACTATACGGGTCGGGTCGGGTCCATGTAGACCCGACTCGAATCTGGCCTGGATAATATTGATATTTAAATTAGTGCATCTTGTAATGCATTTTTGGACCGTCAATTTTCAAGATTTTCATAGATCTACTCGATCTATACTATCTTTGAAGCTATAAATTTTATAACTAAAGATGAAAATATAATTCAAGGGTATACAAAACTTTCCAATATTGAAACCATATTTCTTGACAATATTTGAAGGCAAGCTCTAATTTAATTGTTTAGAGTCTCGGCTCTATACAAACAACACCCATATATTTAACAAATTTATGAAATATAATTGAATATATAGATATTTTGATTTTTGGGTTGGGTCCAATCAAGTCTGGTCGGGGTCCAGATCCCACATTATATTTTCAGGTCCGGGTCCGAGTCCGAGTCCAGATCCCATAATATTTTTTCTAGTTCAAGACCTGGTCCGGCCTGAGCCACACCTGACCTGACCCGACCCCTTGCCACCCCTGTACTGAAACCCCATCTATTTAAGTACATGTCATTATATTTGTCACTAGAACAAGTGAGCATCTTTATGCATTATGTCGTTTTATTTCTTATTTTTCTAAGAAGTGCTCATGTTTAACCAGCATACCTACAAATAAATAAGCAGCCACCAACACTGCTTTTGATTGCTTTCCACTTTCAACTATCAATTAAGTTGAGATGTGGGGTTTATGTCAAAAGATTAGACCCTCCAACTGTCACCACCATATTAACTTAATTTCTTTTCATTAGAATTTCTGTTTTGAATATGAGAAAATTATTTTCGGTTTAATTTTGTTGTCTTAGTGGGTGACATGAGCCATCAGATTTATGGGAAAGTACAGATTCCACTGGATTGGCGTGTTGCACATGACACACAATGAGGCTATCCACCATCCGTTCCCGATGATGGACGGGGGATATCCATAATATGTCATAAACGGGGGATATCCATAATATGTCATAAACATGGATATTTGCCTTCTTGCCTTCTTGAGGCCATTGTCTATTTTCTTTGCAAGTAACCTATGTCGAAAAAGGATTGTATACTATAAAACTATTTTTGTGTGATAGAAGAAATTCATGATCATTTCGAACCATCAAACACGAAGTCAAGGAAGACTATTTTTGTGTGATACAAGAAATTCATGATCATTTCGAACCATCAAACACGAAATCAAAGAGATACAAGTATCTCATAAAGTTTGATAAAAAAAAAAAATCCGTTTTTTTTCAAGCTCCATAAAAAGCCCTTCTTTGCAGTTTCAGGTCTAATGATTAAGAGGCTTGTACCAAAATATAAGTGATATTATCATATAATTTCCCTGGTGGAATTGGCCAACATAACCAAGGTAGTTTACTTTGCATTAATAATTATTTTTAGGATTTTATGTTTTACGTTATGATATTTTACATGAGATGGTTATAAGTAATTATGACTTTTTTGTACTAAAAATAAATAATCTCATTATATGTCATCTCAAAATAAAAAAATGGCGAAAATTAAAATAAAATAAGGGGCACAATGGTTATTTGAAGGATATAAGGGCAGCTGAAGGGTCTTAGCAATTTTAATATTTTTATCATATTTAAAAGATTAAAAAAAAAAGAAAAAAAAGTAAGTTGGTGGGGTTAGGCATAAGTAGGTTTTGAAACCCCGCGCTCTCAAATTCAAGAGAAAGAGCCAAGCCTTAATCATAGCTGCGGGTGACCCACTTTATTTGATTTGATGGTCTAGATTTTCCGTGTTCTAAAAATATCTAAAGACACCAACCGTCCATTTTGAAACCCTAGGTTTTTCGTGCGTTATAGGTCATCAACTCAAGGGAGTGTTTCAAAAATTAGAATCGGGCTCGGGCCAGATGCTCATCCAATTCGGCCCATCGAGCCATATTCAACAAAGAAGCTATATGAAAAAGGTTAAAGTTTCGGAGAATCTTATTTTTTTGTTCTTTTTTGTGAATGTTACGAAATTTTGAGAGAATTGGGACGATTCTAGTGTTCCTGGAACCGAAATTGTCTTGCTCCCGATCCCAAGCCCACTCGGGTCAATATTTGAACTAGTGTTAGATTGACTCAGGCCAGTTACCGGACCATGAGCCAGGTCTGGGTAAACTAAACCAACCCAAGTAACCGACCCAAGTCGGGCAGGTCCCAACTAGGCCAAAAACTTGTTTAAACAATATAAAATACAAAAAATCCTAAAAAAGTATGAAAATTATGTTTAAAATAAAATTAAACAAAATACATCGACATATAATTAAAAACAGAAATGAGAAATTTTTTTTTGAAAAATCAATTCGTGACCAGAGATATTTTAAAAATAATCCAAATAAAGAAAAATGTAAAAACAAAAGTATTAATAGCCCAAAACACTTTCTAATCTTTAGAAAAAAAAAATATATTACATATTAATTTTTTTATATTTTAAAATTCTAATAATTTTTTTGAATTTTTTTTAAGTCCCCGGATTGACTACCAAAATCAGCCAAAACCGGATCCGCCCTGTGGGCATATCTAGTAAACCCAGCCACGTCCGGGTCAACCCAGCCGGTTAGAACATTGAGTTGAACTACTCAATCTAATAAATCCAACTCTAAATGGCGATCCAAATCTTCTTAAATGCATACGCGTGAGAAGAGCCAAAGTGCAGTCGTAAAGCGTGGGTTTTTCCACTAGGGTTTTGAAGGGGGTGTGGAAATTAGGGCAAGCAGGTCCACCCAAAAGAGGTTATGACCCAAGGCCACCTCCTCTTCTCATGCCGTGATTGAAGAGGAAGCCTTCAGACTGAAGCCACAAGCCAACAACCTTCCCATTGGAAAGTCTAGCAAAAGATCCCCTCACTATTTTCAAATTACCCCCAGCTCTTTATAATGACCCAATGGCCACTTCCCTTTCCTATCACTTACTAAAACATGAAAATTTGCCCTAAATTCTTAATAATTAGGAAAGCATAATACGTCCCATATAAAATGTTTATTCTAAATATTTAAAATAAAGGAGTCTTTTAGAGGAGCATTACAACTATTTACAATAGGCAAAAGTTTTTATAGAGCCTAGGTTCTAAACAATCAAATTAGAGCCTACCTCAAAAATTTCACTAGAAGAATTTGTTTTGATATCCAAATATCATCAAATTGATCATCTTGATATCAAGGTGCTTGGACATGCGAAAAAAATGGATGTCAAGTTTTGGAAATAGTGATCGTGTAACGCATTTTTTTCCCGTCAATTTTCAAGATTTTCCAAGTTTTTATAGATATACACTATTTTTGAAGTTTTAAATTTTATAATTAAAAATAAAAATATATTTTAAGACTATTACAAAAATTTCTAATATTAAAACCATATTTCTTGACACTATTTGAAGGTAGGCTCAAATTTGATTGTTTAGAGCCTCAGCTCTATACAAACTACACCCTTTACAATATAGGGCCAGCTTTTACACCCTATTTTCTGGATTTGTAGCATAGTATGCTGCATTTTTAGGGAAAATATTTACATAAAGTTGTAATTTCATACTATTCAAGTAAAAAGGGGTATCTAAAAAATCCTCTAAAAGAGAATCCTCTAAAAGAGAGTGCTGTGACATTGGAGAAAATTCTCAAAAGGAGAGTGCTATGGCAGTGGAGAATCATCCAGTCGATCATCTCAACCTTGAAATGTATGGATATGAAGAAACAAATAAATTTTGAAGTCCTAAATATAGTATACCTTGTAACAAGTTACATACACCATCTATTTTCAAGTATTTATAGATCTACTTGATCCATACCATTTTTTTAATTTTAAATTTCATAACTAGAGATAAAAATAGATTTTGAAGCCATCATAAGATTTCTAACCCAAAAATTTTATCTCCAAGAAAATTTTAGATGTGCGTCTTGCTTCTAATGTAAAAGAACGCACCTTATATAAACATCACCCTTTATATTCACTCATGCACCTGATTCTAAATCGTGTGATTGTATGTATACCATTGATTAGACTCAAAAATTCCAAAAGCACTTTCTCAAACTTTGTAATACACCTTAAGCCATCTAACCATCTAATTTGACATCTAGTGGTTGAGAGTAATTGTGACCTTATAACATTAATAAACGGTGTTATAGTACACAATCCGTCATATGCTCATTAAATTTATTCATGTTCTATTTGGGTTCTCATGTTCTTTACATTGCTTGCTACTTCTATAAAATAATATTATTATGGTCAGCCATGTGGTAATCCTCATAATGAAAACTTCAGCCACAGTATTCACGTGAAGAAAATTTGGAATTTAGGGGCATGCATGCCATTTCTGGCCTTTGTGAGGACATTATAAGACCTCATTCCAAAAGATTCCAATATGTTTCACAAGTCTAAAGACTTCTCCACTAACCTCTCTCTTTTGGCAGCTTATATAAAGGCAAAAGACCACCTCCTTTCCATATGCATCCACCACCCTTACCACCACCGCCGCCGCCGCCACCACCACCACCACCACCACCACCACCACCACCACCACCACCACCAATCTCTTTCAATATTCCGCACTACCACTACAACTATTGCACCACCATCACCACCACCAATCTCTTTCAATATTCCACACCGCCACCACAACTATTGCACCACCATCACCATCACTAGTAAGGTCACTTTTAAGCTTTTTGCCTATACAAAGCTTTAGGCCCACTCTTAGTCCTCCACCACCACCACCACCACCACCACCACCACCACCATTATACGAATACCTTTACTGCTGATCAGTATATCTTAACGACCACCATTGTCCTGTCCCTCTCATGTTTGATCCATGGACTGGTTCTCGTGGCTGTCGAGGACAGGGCTCGAGCCCTCACTAGTCTATGAGTATGGCCTTGCATTTGCTCACAACGAGCTTGAGGAAGATGACATCGTCTACTTGAACCATGATATCCTCCAAAGCATGGGCATCTCCATAGCCAAGCATAGGCTCGAGATCCTCAAGCTCGTGAAGAGAGAAAGAGGAGGGAGGCCACTCCCTATCTCTAGGCTCTTTGCTGCCATAAAGAAGACCAAGAGGTGCATCACCAAGTATATTCATGCATGGCTCCATAGCAATGACTCTGCTCTTGTGGTAGTGCCAGGGCCTAAGTATGGTAATAAAAAGGAAAACTGGAAGGTAGGCTCATTGTCAAGAAAAAACAGAGGTTTGCTTCTTTTGAAGCCGGGGAGATTGCTTCTCACCGATGGAGGCAGACCTAAGGCCTTGAAAATGGCTACCCCTGATTATGCCAAAAGCCCTTCAATATATGAAAGTTGCGATGAATTTGCGGGAGATGATCCTCGTAAGTCTCACGCAGTTGAAGAGATTCGATGGGCTTCAATGTTTCGAGACCTGAAACCAACTTGAACATTATTCAATTTACCTCAAGAAAAGGGAAAGTGTACTAGACACTGATGGTGTATGGCAAGCATTAAACTGGAGGAGGAATTCACTGTCCATTCATGATGATAGATGATGGAGTTGAACAGTAGTGGTCTCACATTCACTAAGGTGCATTAATCTCCACCATCTATCACTGAGTGGATGGAGGATGCTTCTTTGGAGCACAATATGTTGTATATATTGGTTTATGGTACATACTATCCCAAAAAAACAAACTCTTGATATTCAGCAAAAGAGAAAAAGAAGACATTGAGGTATACCAGCACTGTGTGGCTTGTGATTGTTTTTGATTAAATATCTTTATTTAATACTTGGGTCATAGGGTGTCCCACTTTACACAGCGGAGGCCAAGCTTTAATTATGATTTGATCCACTTGCTTTTGTAATTTTACATTTCTGTTGTGGTTTAACTATTATGTAAGAGCTGGGTTATGATTGAGATGATTGTAATATGGATGGTTGATTAGAGTCAACTACTGTCGGATTTCCATCTGTCCTTAGTGGGGTTTTGGTCTGTCCTCTTTTAATTTTAAATACAACTAGATTTTAGATGTAATATCTCAGGCAACAGATGCTTATGTATACCAAATACAAGGATGTGTGGTCCCTCACCAAGTCTTAAACCGATTTCACTGTTGTGATATACAATTGCCTATGCATTATTACCTCTACTTAAACTACAACAGGGCTGCATTCTCATCAAGAAGAAAAGAAGAGAAGAGATGGGGGTGTTCATCTTTCATACTCTTCTGAATTTGTTCTCTTTGAACAAGCTTGCGGGTTAAATATACATTTCATGACAAACTTTATTCCACTTCTTTTCCATTCTATACCTTCTCCCACATTCATTGACTCCAATTTTCTGCTAACCCCCAACTACTATTCTAGGTACAAATGGATAAAAAATAGGGATATGGTAAAAGATATATTGGGATCAGAACCTGCAACCAATAGTTTGGCCAAGGAGCTCCCTACTACTAAGCTTTGGGTACAATCACCCTTCTTTCCATTGTAATTCCCACTTAGCAGAGGATTCCTTTCTGATACTTTGTTTTGCTCTTTCAACGTAAGCATACGGTGATCATGACCTTTTTGCTCTTTTAGAATCTACTACTATTTATATAAAATGAAACCTCTATCATGGTTGACTTTATTTCTTTTTTTAGATCCCAACTAATATTCCCAGTGCAGAAGGATAGAAAGATTGGTCTCTAATGATAGATTTATGAGAATCAGAACCTGCAACCAAGGAGTTTGAGGCAAGTAGCACTCCTTGTTAGCCATGGTGTAAAACTCCCATGGTTTTGGCCGTTTGGAAAAAACTCTGACGCAGTTGATTTCACTTAAATCAGAGTCCCAATCAATGTCCCACTATTAAGTGTAAAAAAACAAGGCCCTAATTTTGGTTCAATTGTTGAAAGAGCTCAAGTTACCAGGATACAAGGTAAACCCCCATGTGTGTATGCACACATGTGTACACGTGTGGTTGTATGCGTGTGGGCGTTTGTGTGTAGGTGCGTTCATGCGTGAGAGAGAAGAGAGAGAGAGAGAGAGAGAGAGAGAGAGCTTACAACAGCGTCAGAAAAGACCTTTGACACTTCTCAATGAAGGAAAGCAGGAATCCTTGTCATCCACGGAAAGGATTTAAAAAATGGACTCATTTTGTGACTAGATGCAAACCGCATTTTCCAACTTGAAGACCAAACTTGCCACAGTGAAAAAGAAACATGAAAAAGCAAACTCAGTATATCCCTAAAACCAATGGATTCCCTGTCAAGGTCAACATGCAGTTTCCAAGCAAAACTTGCCCTTAATTCCCCAGTTTCTTCGAATGATTTCAAAAGGATTTGATAACCTCAATTCACCAGTACTGGAAGAATGCATAATATATACCCGACATAGAAAGGCATGCAAAGTACCACTTCACAAACAAATATTGATCACAGCATATCTCAATAGATTATCTCTGAAATTACATTGTGAGCAGAAGTATGAAATCCTCAAAGCTGACAGTATCTATAGCTCTATACCATGACATTTACTTATCAAATTCCCGTGGGACTCTAAATAAAAAATGTAGCCCTCTCAGCCAGTACTGGAAGGCACATTGCTACCCTCAAAATATCTCCATTCTCAAAGGCATCAGTTGGTAAAGGGTTGAAACCAAAATCTGCATTCTACTCTAAATTACTGCCCATAAACCAAAACGATTATAATCATAGACTCTCCAATAAGGGAAGAACAAGGGAAGCAGCACTCTAACATTACTGTTCATAAACCAACTGACAAGAACCCCATGTAACTTCTGCAAGACATAATATATAGCTCAACCAAATATGTGAAATGCAGTCGACCAAAACCCCTCCATATCAACGGTCTGAGTTTCTAGGTATTCGAAATGAACCTCCAGAATACAGCATCTGGTAAACGGGCCTCAGTCTTAATGTCAAAATGACACTTAAGAAAGAACCCAAAAAGCAAACCCCTGATAGAACAAAGAAAGTTAGCCTGAAGCAGTTTGGACCCAAGCAAGAGCTACTACTTGAACCAAGAAGGAAACCTCCAATCTGCTTTGCCGCTTCCTTGTCATACACATACCCTGCAAGACCTCCCGAGAAAATAAGGGCACCGAGAGGATTGCCCAAGCACATGAAAGCATATATCACACCAAAATGCTTCAATCCAAAAAGCTCAGAAGAGGTGGGCACCATGATAGAGAATTGGACCCCATAACATATGCCTAACAATGCTGTTGCAGCATATAGAGTGCCTGGAAGGGCGGAAGCGTACATGAGGTAGGAGAATGCCATGATTATCTGTGTAAGTGTCATCCACAAGGGACGAGGAGTCATTTTGGACCTGAATGGGGCAAGGCCACATATACAAATAAGTACAGTTAAAATTGACCTAATAAAGTGTATAAGGAAAGTCTATTATAATTCTTGGCTACAGAAAAAGCATTGATAAAAAAAAAAATATGCTGGGCCAAGTCAGGCCACACCCAGGTCAACATGGAGTGGAACCCTAGCCATCCAGAGGCAAAAGCCCATAAAGGACAGGCCTCCCAACCTCAGGTTCCCCCTTTGTCATTTCCCAATAGAATCAACCAAGTCAGACCTCCGACTAGGTCGACTCTAGGGCCGCCTCGGGTTCATCAGCGTCATGAGTCCGAGCCCAAGTAATTGTTTTTAGTCACCATGAAAAAGTAGCTCATTTGTGTCATCACCATTCGTGGAAATGATGGATGGTGACAGAGAGAGTGCCGGACACACAACGTGAATGATGGATCCAGTATCTCCATAAACAACATCATTTCATTGCATGGTGATGAACCCCAGACTATTTTATCAACAGGCTAACAGACACTAGTCACTGCCCAATAATTAATTAGTAATAGCATAGATATCGCCTAAAAAAGAGGGGGAAACTTGAATTAGTAGTTCCCAGTTACTAGCAATAGTAAGATATTGCACAAGACATGGATTTGATAGGACACCCCTAGTAGGGATCACACTCAAGTGCTCCCCCCTTTAGTGAAAAGAGGTATAAGGCTGTTTAGAATACTTTCTCAGAAGAAAGCCATGAATCACCCATATGAATAGGGTGTCTTAAGTTGGGACCAAGAACAAAGTCAAGAATCACCCATACAGATAGGGTGCTTTAAGTTGGGTTCACATCAGTGTTTAGGAATTTGCCATGGGCAAGGTACTTGGCCCTGGCCCGAGGTGAATTACTTAGGTGAGTCCAAGTTGAATAGCCAGAGCGCTGTACAGGGACAAAAGCCCTAGAAAAAACAAGAAAGATGTGACAAATAAAATAAAGTTAGTAAAAGTTAAATAAAACCAAAAGTAACCCTCAAATGTTCAAATAAGCTTAAAAAAAAACAAAGTATAGAAAAAATAGATTTTAAAAAATTTTGATTTATAGTTGGGGAGATTTTAAAAAAATCCAAAACAAGGAAAATATAAAAATAGGGATTATGGCAAAAAAAAAGGCCAATCTTTTCCAAAAACATCCAAATTATATATAAAGAATTATAAAACAATACCACATTGTTTTTTTTTACTATTTTTTATTTTTTTGAAAAAAAACTTATGTACCCCAAAATGTAGATACAACTCAGTGCAACTCGAACTCGGTTGAGTCCCATAACACTGGTTGACACCCTGAATAACTATTGAGTCAGCACAATGAATGTCGCCGAAAAAAATGAAACCATCTCCACCCACCCAAAAGTATGTTCACTAGAGGGTGAAGATGCTTTTCTGAGTCCAAAACTTTGGGACCAGCAATAATAACTTGAAACATAATAAAACTGTCAAAGCCATAGAAGAAACCAAACTTTTATCAAAATATAAATACAATTTACTAGGTGTATTCTTACTTAACAAAATGTTCAGAAACCATGCCTCCACCGAGACGGCCGATGAAATTGCAGAAGCTAAAGAGTGATAAAAGGATTGTGGTGTCCTCTACACCTGCTGCAATCCCAATTTGCGCCAGGTTGTTAAGAACTGTGATACCAGAGCCAGACCCAAGAAAATAGACGACAAAGAGAAGCCAAAAGTCAGCCTTGATCAAAGCTTCATGAAATTTAAAATCTTCCCCTCTTTTGGGTCTTTTCTTCTTCTTGACAGCTCCTTCTCCTTCAGCCAAAAGTATATTAACATCAACAATTTCTTCATCATCCAAAATGTTCCTAGTTGACAGAGAAACATGAAGTGTTGGCTCTGATTCCTCCAAGTCGTTACCACTTGTGGACTCTTCTGCCACCGAAGTCTCTCTCTGTCCAGTATTGCTCCCACTGATAAAAGGCTCTTGAGCAGGAGAGAGAATGCCACTAGACCTTTTGACTTTATTGGGGTATAATGTCATTTTCAGGGGTACAGCCAATGGTGCAAGTAGTAAGAGAACCATTACACCAAGAAAAACCTTGGAAATGGTCGCGTTTACATTAAGAACATCATTTATTATTGTTGTAGTGAGAAGATAAATGCCTAATAGAACACTGGCAATCTGGGTGAATAGGAAATGGCCATGCTCGGATGAGTCATCTCCTGCTGCAGGTGTACAAGGCCTAACAAAATACATTACAAGAATGCATAGAGCAGGAATTCCCAGAGTGAGAACCAATAAGAGCTTTTCAGAGGAATTATTAAGAACTCCTGAATAAATTTCCGTATAGACAGCAGCACTAAGTCCCACATAGCCCTTCAGGATGCCAGCCACTGCACCCCTGCTTAAGGGGAAGTTCCTCATGTTAGTCACAAGCGCACTTGTGCCAAACCAGGCACTGCTATTAGTGGCGATGCATGATGCAAGCCATAACTGCAACATAAAAAATGACCATCACAATATCAGCACAATTCACAACATGAAAACACAAACAATAGAAATCATAGTTTGAAACTAATGAAATGTCGGTAAGTTTTCTTATCACAGGAAATATTTCATTAAGGGAAATTATATCATAGTCTGACAGAGTAGGGGAAACCATAGTTCAGTGGGTCAGTACCATCTCATGAAATTATAAGTGGTGATGGAGAGAGGGACATGGCCCAACAGTGGATCTCACTGTCTCCATCACATTCCATCATTTTCTTTTTTTGAAATTGTCCCCTTCCATCTTTTTTTTTTTTTGATGCTGAATTGTCCCCTTCCATTGGTATAAGGGGCTAATGATTCCAATGGCCTAGTCTGTAGGACTTCCCATCCGGTAAAGTGAGAGGTGCGAGATGCAATAAATGTGCATATAACAAAGTCCACATGGAAGTTCTGCTGAGTTAAATAGAGAAGAAATTGCATGGGTAACTTTCATGTAATGCCTTGTCCATTAGCACATAGACAGGGGGTAGTTACTGCATTTCTCATGTATTGGTTGCAAACTGTTAGCAACAAATATGAAGGAAGATATAATTCCATGATTCAAAAGTATCATGTTTGGTTTTTTACTTTTTATTTTAGATGTTTCACTTCCCGAGGAAAAGTAAGATGGCATGCAAACAAATGTTTTTTGTAAAATACAAATAAGAAAAAAGGAACATAGTCTTTAATTTGGGAAGAAGTACAATATTTTTTATTTTTTATTCTTTAATGCCCCCAAAAAGACAATAAAGTAATATCAATGTTATTTACCAAAAAAATAATAAAGTAGTAAAAAAGAAGATGGATATCCTAAATTAATCTATTATAATTGGAAAACCCCTTTGTGACTAAAATAAAGCTAGCAAACTCAGCCCTCCAAATGAAATGAGAGGCAGAACTTAAAGGAGAAAGCCTATGAAGCATGCTTGACTGACACCCCAGAGTGTAAGGACCTTAGCTGGACAAAGAAGCCATTGAAAACAATAGGTATAAATGTTAAGCGACAAACTAATATCTTGATAAGTGTGAGAACTAATTCAAAAACCTTCTTATGGAACCCATCATATTCACTCGCTAAGAATGTAGAAGCACATGAGAAAAGGTATGGAGAACACTTGGGCTTGGTCACGCTTTGGATATTCCAAGTTTTTTGAGGGTTAAAGAACCCATCATACTCACTCGCTAAGAATGTAGAAGCACATGAGAAAGGGTATGGAGAACACTTGCGCTTGGTCATGCTTTGGATATTCTAAGTTTTTCAAGGGTTATCAGAGGGCAGGGTACATATATACAAATGTATCTTTTTTCCTTTTCTAAGTTATATTTTTCTTTTGGATTTGTGATTTGCTTTCGTTTCACTGTGTTAAAAGCATACATAAATACGCAAATAAATGTTATGATCCATAATCTACGTAATGTGCATCTTCACAAGCACATTTATTGAAACCGTATCATTCATTGCTAAGGATCATATCACGAATTTTGGTTATAAACTCAACACCTTGTATGACTTCAAAGACACTTCTGTCTCTCGGGTGCGACAATAGTTTTTTGGTTCTTTATCCCCTTGGAAATCTGTACATTTTAAACATTTATACTGACCACTTTTGTCTCACTATAGGCATGCACCTGGATCTGGTCCATCCAGTACTGACCAAGCTCAGACATGACCAAGCTCAGACATTACAGTCATTCGAATCAATAAACATTTACTAATCCCCCAATAAAGTATCTCTAGAGTCGGCCGAAGTAGGCTTCTTGGCTGTCATGGCTGTCATGGCTGTTTTGTTTCTTATTCTTGCTTGTCCCAGTCTCTTTGGTGACATCCAATAAAATTGGAAAGAAGCTGTCTCCTTCCTTTGGGGTATTTCTCACTTCTATAACATCCCTTTTACATACTCTGAGATTGCTTTCAAGCTTGATAGCAACAGACACTAAAGGAAGACAATGATATATCTAATGTGATTATATTGGAAAAACTCATGAGTACTCATCCCAGCATCCTCGTCTATTGTAGGCCAACATTCAGAAGGCATTACATGAGCTTAAACAAACCCCTCAATCTGAAAGATTTTGGATGCAGTCATTGCTTCGGGGTTAATGTTATGTGTTGATTATTACATATTTGCAAAACTTATGTGCAAAGCCACATTCATGCCTCAACTTTCCAAGCTTTCTTGGACACTCCCTGGTTTACCATGGGCAAATTCCTGCATCATGCTGTCTGCTACGGTTTGGGTCGCTTGGAAGGAAAGGAACTATCAGATAGTCAAAGGCAGAGAAGGATTGTATTAAAGCCTTGGTCATTTTTTGGGCAATAAATACAAAATTACTAAAAAGCTATTGCACCACTGATTTTCTGCAAAATGGGGATTCCTTACGCAAGACAAGCCCCTCAAGATATATCAATCCTCCCTATGGAGGACACCAGATGAAGGGTCCATCAATCATAACTTTGACGGCTGCTCCCTCAGTAATCGCCATGGTGGCCTTTATAGTTATCTTTAAGGGAACACACTTCTCTCTTTCTTGGGTTTCATTCCTCGCACTGACTCGACTATAGCTGAGACTGTTGCTCTTGTGCAGGCATCAACAGATACTGTCCAAGTGGGCTCTTTCCTAATAGTAGAAGGGGATTCCAAGAATGCCATCTCATGGGCATCAATATCTTGTCCTTGCTCTTGGCGTATAGAACATCTTAGAAAAACATGATGAAAGGCCAATGCTCAAGCTGATTTGCTGGGTAAAGATGGTGCTGCAGCAGTGAGCTCTTCTGGGACCGTTTTGAATTTTTTTTATCAATGGTTCCTTTTATGTTTTCCTTTTATGCCTTGTTATTCAATCCCCATTTTTGATGTATAGTGGCCTCCTATATACACGATTAAGGATATCATTTTTGTTGTATGGAGCGGGACACCTTGTGAACCAATGTAAACAATTTACCTAATACAGAAGTTGACCTTTGCTTTAAAACAAAAAAAAAAAACAGAAAAGTAAAAAAAAAAAAGGCACTACTCTGGAGGGCTATATTTTTCATTAATGTGGACAATATAATTATCCTTTGTGATGAACATTACAACATCAATTTCATATTAATAATATTTCTCTACAATTGAGGACGCAAGCCTTTTTAGCTTTCAATTGAGGGTGCATTCTTCTGCAGAAGAAATACATCTTAGTCTTAGAATAAATACACTTGGCTAACATTTCGCATGTCATTCTCATGAATAAGAATACAGTGGACCTTCCAAGCAACATAAATCTAACAAAGCATATGGGTTAAAATCATGTTTTGACCAAAATTACATAGGTAACTAGTTTATTTGCAGTTTTTTACATCTGACTTTGATTCAGCAGACATCATACATGCAGTTCATGGTCATACCTTAGCAAACTTCTGAAGCAGAATCTACAAAATTATTCAGTATATACATCAATCCCAGGAAGTGGACAGCTCAAGTTATCTACTCCCTTAACTTGATAATATATCTAGTTGTCATCAGTGCCTATCTGTTTGAAAACAAGGACGGTGTCAGGGATTTGCCAGGGTCCCGACTTCGAGTCAGCCACTAACTTGGCCGAGCAGAGTGTCCATAGATAAATTAGACGGGGGGTGTCACTTGGAGGGACTTGCCTGAGTTTCGGAGTTTTTCATATGGATCCCGCACTCTGCCCTGTCCAAGTGACTCAGGAGAGTCCAAGTCCGAGTCACCGATTTTTAAGTCAATGGTGATTAGGTAGGTTTTCCTAGCACTGGGAGATTAGTAACTGGATACTATAGTTTCCTAAACTACTCTAATATATCATTGAAGAACAAAGAACAGGCGAACAGCCACTATTTCTAATCTGAGCTAGAGTATCGGGTTATGGCATCTGTTTGCTAAGATGTTTTAGATCAAGAATCATCTCCAAGACATGGGCTACAGTTCACCTTTTCATACAAACAATCTGATTTCTATTTTGACTGCCTCAAACCATAATTTTTATGGACAACAGATAATAAGACAGATTATGTGATTCTGAGTGAGGTAACTAGGGGATATAACCTCACAAAGAGAATAAAAGGAGAGAGAGAGAGAGATGAAGGAAAAGAGGGCAAAAAGTGGAAAGTGATTACGATAGAAAAAATATTCCCTATCAATATAGAAAAAAACAGATTCGGCGGCCTAGGCGGGCGCCTAGTTCACTAGCCAGCCCGTCTAGGAAAGTTAGGGGTCTAGGCCGCAAGGAAGCTGTCCAAAGGGGTTTGGTTGCTCAAATGATCTTAGAAACTATAGTTTTCTAGAATTACTAGTAAAACACATTATCTAAGTCCCCGATACACCATATTTCATACATATATCAAATACGAACTTGCCACTGAATTACTTAAGAGTCTAAAATTCCAAAAAAAAAAAAAGGAACAATATGGGGCACACATCCAAATATAAACTCAAAATAAAATACAAGAACAAAATCCAAACAAAAAAAGAAAGGCACATTACCGGTCCTTTTTCAATCAAGAATATGGGCCCCAAATACAATCCCAAACTTGAAATAATGTACAAGAATAAAAAACTCTAAACCAAAAAATAATTTACAAGAATAAAAAACACTAAACCAAACATTTATAAATATCATATAAATTAAAATATATGAACCTTTTAATATGCACTAGATCTTGGCTCGAATCAATGACCGGTGAGAGCCAAAAGTCTTCTTTCACAACCAATAGACCCACAAAAAGTATCAGGTTGATTACTTTCCGATTTCGCAATAAAAATTGAAGGCTGCAACATTTGACATATGAATACAGCACCATCATGATCAAGATCAACATGCTCTTATCATGTATTTTCAACAATTTCAACAACAGGAAATCGCTAGTACTTCTTACTAACAAGGTTGCCCTAATCCACATGGCTTTTGGTCGCAAATCACTATTCATTCACCCCTTTGTTGGCAATTTTAGCTACTAATCTTACCACAGTAGAGGATAACATAGTGAAATCATGACAAGATATGAAAAATCAAATCATCCAACAAAAAAACAAGGAATTGTATATCATAAACGCAATTCACAAAACCGATATGCAACCCTACTGCAAATAAGGAGTGTTCAAACATATGAAACTCCAAAACTTCAAATGCATTATAAAATACCAATGATGATAAATCCAAAAGATTAATAAATTTCCAGAAGCTAATTAAGAAAGTCAGGACTCCAGAAATTCAAACATGATATGAATGCTACTTGTTTCAAGTTCACAACATCAAACCACAACACAAGAAATTTCCAGTGATCCCTCATTTTTACATACATAAATGATAACCAAAATTCATGTCTCAAGATTTGGATTGAAAAGAAAAGAAAAGAAATGTATTTTTCAATTGAATAAAAAAAACCAAAGTACCCTAAAGAAAGGAGAAAATTAAAAAAAAAAAAAAACTAGAAATCTTCACATTTGTTCATCCAAAAGAAAAACCCATCTCAGATATCCATCTTACCAGCCAATAAGGCAAAGAAGGGACGGTCTGGGACACTGCAAGCCACAAAACTCCATAACCCAAAAAGCAAGCAATAGTCCCTGTCATCAAAACAGACCATGGTGGAAATTTGTTTAAAGCCATACCAGGAATAATCCCAGCATTCTCACCGATATCATTAGCAACTCCAAGCAGCGTTAACTGCTGCTGATTGTACCCAAGAACAGATTTGAGAGAGTGAGAGTAGAGAGGGAAAGTGAATGCATTTCCAGCTGCAATCTCCACCCAAACAGCAGCTCCAAGCCCTACCCATGGTGGCCTGCTCCCCGCTTTGAGCACAACCATGCTTAAACTCACTCCTCTCTCTATGACCCGTTCCAAGCCAATTCAAATCAACCCACCTGTCCTTCTACAACAAGATATGGTAATATGCAGCCATGAACGAGAGAGAGAGAGAGAGAGAGCACAAGAATACAGAGTGACTTCTGGAGAGGTATGTGTATTGGGAGAGAGAAAGTGAGCGGATCAACACTGCAAGGAATATGTTAGAGAGAGAGGGATCCCCAGAACGCAAATTGCGTCAAGAGAGACTGCGAGAACGATTTGTGTTATGATATTTTTGGAGAGAGGATTTTATTAAAGGGCAGGAGAGCAAAAGCGGGGGACAGGGAAAGAGAGAGAAAATCAGGACATGGTTCTTAAGTGCGGGTTTGCATGAATGTGGACTTAACAAGACCGTTGGATTATGGCCTACGTGTCAATTTTTAAGCCTCCTTAAAATAGAGAAAAACTAGCTTAAAATAGAGAAAAACTAAAAAAAAGTTTATATAAGATCATCATTCATCATAACTACGATAGTTAGAGCTTTTTCCTCAACTAATTCAGTAGAATAGCATGTGCATAGCAGCTCCAAAATGATGTCTTTCATTTTATTCTCACCACCAAAAGATAGGCCTCAAATCTTTACTTATAACTTCTTAATTACAAAAAAAAAGAAAAAAAATTGGGGTCCACCATTCAAATTCTAGTCCTTATTTTGTTTTAGGATCTTATATTCACTATGGCTAAAATATTTCCATTAGGCGATTTGCTAACTATTGACAAAAAATGTGGTGATCCGCTCAGCCACCAAGCGAAGGCGTCATATTTCATGGAGAAAGGGAGGGAATTATGGAAATGTGTTGCCTTCTTTATTTATTGTAATTGTAGTGTGATTTCTTCATCTCATATGTAAAAAATATTAAGCTAGATTTAGGATGGAGCAACCTCTTTTCGATTATTATTTATTAAAAAATAAGGCCCCCATATGTTTTCCCCGGTATCACCTCATTAATATTTTCAAAAGACTGACTCTTAAACTATTTGAAAAAACTGGTAGGGGTCTCCCTTCCGCACTTAATTACTTCAAAAAAAACAAGAAAAAACAATGCCCCCGTATATTATTTTTAAATAGCAAACACGAGAAAGGTACAATACGCTATAAATTTTGTTGCCAAAAGATATATTTTTTGTTGCCAAAATATATCTACTCCCTCAGGAGTAGAATGTGTATTTACTCTCTCGGGTTAAATCTCACCTAAACTTAATTTTATGAACCCAAATTTTAAGGATGTAACCTCTTTAGTCCATAGATTAATTCTAATTTAAAAAAATAATCCTAATTGAGCCCTCTATGTATTTGAAAAAAATGATGCCTCAAAATTGAACGGAGACCATCCAATTTTCAGATGATGTGATAGAAAAATCAAATTTAAATTTTTTTTAGAATAATCATCTAGTAATTCTTAAGCGGTTACTAATTTCAAATTGAAAAAATCCTCCCAAGTCGGTCTTCTGATCATGGGAGTAAAAATAAACCATGCTCCCGAGAAAGCATAGTATACATGCTTTTTTTATATATATATTATTGTTATTATTTTTTAAGCAAGTGGAGAAGAGGGCAACGGTACTCCACGTGAGATACTCCTTGCCTTTGGAAAGAGAAAGAAAGGTTTTCCTTGAAGAGTGGAAAAAGCATCATTTCAAGAATTATAATACAAGTATGAAACCACATAAACTACAGGCCTTGCTTTTTAACTTTAAGACTCCATGTGCATTTTATAAGTTTCCTTGTCTATTTTATAAGTATAGACATTGATTTCATAATTTCCATGTACATTTTATATGTATAAATATCGATTTCGGACATAGAACGTGGTTCTTCGATCTAGTGGGCCAGTAGACCTTCCCTTTATCGACGGTGGTGATTACCTCTCAACACTTATCCAAGGGTAGGTGGGATTTTGATGAGCTGGGCAGCTAGGCAGACACCTTTCCGTCTTTTCTGACAACAATATTATACATGATAGTGGTAAATCCAAACGGCAACGTTTTGTTTTTTGCTATTGAAATGTATATAGAGTTTAGTGGATGGATTATATGCTCCCGCGGGCGCATATCATTAATTCGTGCAAAAACTTACCTAGATATAACTATGATCCATAATTTGACATACAACCTCTTTCTAACCTCAATAACTTAAAAATGAAAGAACCCACAGGCCAATATCTCTTAAAATAATGGGATTATCCACAAAGAGACCATTTATGATTGGGTGTAGTTTGTATAGAGCAGAGGCTCTAAACAATCAAAGTAAATTGCACTTTCAAATAGTATCGAGAAATGTGGTTTTAATATTAAAAATCTATGTGATAGCCTTAAAATATATTTTTATCTCTAATTATAAATTTTAAAGCTTAAAAAATAGTGTAGATCGAGCAGATCTATGAAACCTTTAAAATCTTGAAAATTGACGATTTACAAAAGTATTACAAGATGTACTATTTCCAAAATTTGAAATCCATTATTTTTCATGTCTATGCATCTTGATGTCGAAATGATCAATGTCATGATATTTGGGCATCAAAACAACCTCTTCTAATGAAATTTTTTAGGTGGGTTCTAATTTGATTGTTTAGAGCATTGGCTCTATATAAACTTTTCTTTTATCTTTTGTACATGGAGGTCACAATCATTATTGTCTCTTAAAATTCAAAATGGGTGGTTTCAAGAGTGTTATTGAATAGACACAAAGGTCTAAAAAAATTTCTCAAACTTCGTGACTCACTCCAAGCTATCTAATTTGATAACTAATGAGTGAAAATGCTTGTGAACTTCATGTACAAAAGATAAACGGTGTAGTTTGCATAAGGTTACAACCTTAAACAATCCAATTAAGGTGCACCTCTAAATTTTATCATAAATATAATTTTCATATAAAACATATTTCGCATGGCTTGAGAATTAATTTTTATCTGTAATTATAAAATTTTAAACTCTAAAAATGGTTCAAATCAAGCAGATTTATAAACCCATGAAAATCTAAAAAATGGATAGTCCAGGTAATGTGTTGCAAGACACACTATTTTGCAGGATCCGAAATCTTTTTTTTCTTTTCATATTCATATATCTCGATGTCGAGATGATCAATTAAATGGTTTACCAACATCAAAACAACATTTTATGATGGATTTTTGAAGTGCACTTTTAATTATACATTTGAGGTTGCAACCTTATATAAACTTTTTTCAAAAAATAAATGGTCTTTTTATAGACAATCTCTAAAATAATAGCCTCCAATACGAATAGAGTCTGTCCAATATTAGGAAATGTAGGAACTCACAATTCACATTTCTTTCGAATATATTTAAAGGGGTGATTCTCAAGTGAAACCCAATTTTTTCATAATGAAGTAGTTTAAAGCGGCCCATTATTGATTAGATCAAAATGTGCTCTCATAGGAGCATATTATGTGCACTCAGGATTTCCGGATTTTAAATAGGGGTGGCAATGGGCGTGGCAGCAGAGGTAAAACATGTGGCCTGAGGACCGGGCCAGGGCCAGCGAGATTCAACGTGGCCCAACCCTTTTGTTATTTAGATTTTTCATGTATTTTTTCATTTGGCCTAGACTTGATTGGCTCGGCCTAGATAGGGCCTCGGCCTCTTTGACCCAGTTGGGGCTTAACTAGTCTGGGCTAGCCCTATAGGTATCGCAGCCAACCCAAGCCAGGCTCGTTACCAGCCTAATGTTTTAAGAAAGGGATCTCTCTCAAGGAAAAGGGGAAGTATCACATGTGCCACTAGGTGAACCAGTGTCTAATTATCCATTAGATCACAAAATGATGGATGGGAGAGAGAGAGAAACGTAGTGGGTGCCCCTTAAATTCCGTCTATCCAAGTTTGATACTCACATGGAACCTTCCATAGGTGGATTCCATGGTATCCTCATTGAGTGTTCCGGTGGTTTTTTTTTAAGGTATGGTGGGATCGAATGGGTTCTAAGATGGTATGGTTCCTTGGCCAGTACCCTAGATGAATCGGCTTCATTGAGTGTTTTGAGACCAGGTGATTTTTTTATAGGTATGATGGGACCAAATGGGTTTTGAGATGGGCATGGTTCCTTGACTAGTCCTCCAACCCCCACCCCCATCCTCATCCACCAAAAATAAATCAGAAAGAAAAAAGAACCTCTTTTTTATATTCTATCCTTTTTTCTTGAAGTGTCTAATATTTTATCGGGTCCGTTAAATCCGCACCCCATAAACATCTCTCTTTTTTTTTTTCTTTTTTTTTCATCACAAATTTAGAGTGATTCATGTATATTGTTGATCTAACAATCTGACACAGATCTATGGATGAATGATCTGCCTCCTAACATCCAGATTTTAAAACACCTTCATCTGCGCTCCAATGGACATGACACTTTAAGTTATTTTTGTATCTCCAAGAAAATCAATTGGATGAGAGAGAGAGAATCTCCCACTCTTGTTACACTCTCACGCATCCAATCATATCGATAATTGCAAAAGTTGATCTATAGTTGCACAGAGTGTTTAAAAAGTTAATCGTCGAGTTAGCTCATAATCATAGTTATTAAGAGCATACCAAACCAAAGGTTGGACTAGTTAGACCACTGACCAATTTTTTAGGGGGTCCGATTTAAAGTAAAAACTACATTTGGATGTAAATAAGTCAAAATCAATATTTGATCATATTTTAGCTTGTCGAAAAATCTTCTTCTAGCTAATTCGACCATCTAAATGAAATTAGGCAATTTTTTAAATTTATTATATATTTTTAAACTATTCCATCTATTTTTCTTTTTCTAAAATTCGGTCCAACCAGTTCAACCAATTGTTAGGGGAAACCTCTCATCGATTCGATGAGTGGCTCGATCCTAATAACAATACTCGTAACTAATTGAGCTGTCCAATGACTCAATTCGATGGCAGGTTTGAACCTAATAACGATGCTCGCAATTGCTTGAGCTGGCTAGGCATTAGCAAGGGATCGGTCTCAGTCTTCTTCAGAATTGACCAATCCCTTATTTTGAATGTTTTTCTCTCATTTATTCACCAGGAGATTAGTGTCAGAATTATAGAGTCCTTAGGATCCCCTCGCTTGCCGGAATTGAGAAATATAAAGATTCTACTTAAGATCGTATCATAGTTAATTAAAGGTGAAATAGATGAATAAAATAATAAATAAAATAATAAACAAAAACTCTATGAGTTTAATTAGTTCACCAGTGAAATCCGTTTATTAATTATTTCCGATGTTGTTTTTTAAGAGTCTTTTGGGAGAAATTTATGACGGCAGTCCATTATAGAAATATTAACAAGGTTAGCAGGTATTCTTTTTGTTGG